CACTGAGGCTTTTAGGCGGCTCTATACAGAGAATAAAATCGTCGCTGTCGGTGTATATTGCCTGTTCCTCGGCAATCAGATCGACAAATGGATGATACCACACAACTACAAGAAGGCCACCGTTGCTCGTCATAGTGCCAGACCCCGAGTAACTGTATTGTAGGGCAGTGCTGGGACACAAACAATACTGAGACCTGGGTTCAATCGCCCCATTCGCCCGACATAAAGCCGAGCGATTCCAATTGTTCTCGTCAGTCGAGAGTACTCTCCGACGGCAAACGCTACAATGTTTTGTCATTCGCCGAAATTGGCATCAACAGCAATTTACTCGCACTTGTTGAAAAATCGAAGGTACCAGAGGTCCAAAGGCTTTCGGGGCACTGGGAGCGGGTCATTGGTGAAGGAGGGATTTACTTAACTTGAAGCCAAAATATTACTTTTTATCTATTCTCCTCTTTGTTTTATTCGAAAAAACCGAAGGCACTATTGAAGGTTGACCTAATAGGTTTCGTCGTAGCACTAACACTGATTTTATTGCGACTTGTCATGATTCTCCATCAGCCGGTCACCTTGGTCTGAAACTGGTAACGGCACTTTTGCAAAATTGCAAGGCACTTTTGTGCCTCTGCACGAACCGAACTCGTGGCTGAGAGTCCGAACATGAGTTTGCACTAATAACCATTCGGCTATCTCTACCTCTTCTAGCCAGAGAATAGCGTGGATCATTATCGGCTAACTCGAGTTTTTTTTTACTTTCAATTGATGCACCATCACTCAGGCATAACTGAGAAAGGATACCTACATGGCATTATGACCCAGAAAGTTTTGTTTTTCTACTGAGCGATACCGCTTCTATAGCCTAACCACTGCCGAAAATTCAACGCGCTTCGCCTCGGAGTAAACTTCAGACTGGGCAGCATCAAGATCTCTCCCTAACGAATCCCACATTTTCATCTAGAAAGCTCGGTAGGCTCCTCGTACCCCTTCATGTAGAGACAAGGAACACTGCAGCACACAGGCTCTCATCAACACCTACATGAAATATGTCATGCACTCGACTTCATTTTCGAACGCATCACCCATCCTGCAGGCTAGGTCGATACTGTGTCCAGTGCTGATCTCTGCAAATACGACCCCCTCGCGGATTCCGCGATGTATGTTTGCCTTGGTGCAACCTCGCGCCGCAGCGTTTCCCAGAATGCGCTCACTGCTTTCAGAATTCAAAATCCCTCGCCACACCCAGGTTTCGAATTTGACTTGTGTTGTGGAGTGTATTCCTTTCCCATGTTTGTTTTTCTTTGCTTCTAATTGAAATGAACTGGAATGAATGACTTAAAAGCGGTACCCTCCTAAGCCTACATGCTATATTGCAGGCTGCTATAGGGAATGGACACACCTCACTTTTTGTCTTTGGATGGGACGTCGGGATTCAATGTTCCCTGCTGGCTTTTTACAAGTGTCGAAAGGAGCGCAGCCCCTTCACTGAACTGCTTTTTTTTCTTCCATCGCGATATTTATGGATACTTACAGCGCTTCACAGAACGGAAGAGAAACGATGGTTTCAAAAGATGAAAACTATCAACAAACCATGGGCTCCGATATTGTTGGCTTCTATGACGTATCTATGATGAATGAGCACTACAACTGTAAAGGTCATTATTTTTTCACAAATAAACACATTTTCCTTTGCTGAACCTCCCTTGTTACAGTTTCACCTTGAACATTGATATCAATCTAATCTCTTTCCAGTTCTGTGTCCACCACAAAGTTCCGCTCAGTGCCAGAATGGAGGTTATCCCAACCCAAATAACTGCTCGATTTGCAACTGTCCAGGTGGATACGGCGGTAATCTTTGCAATGAAAGGGTTTGTTTTATGAGTTATGTCATGCTATTATTTATAAGCGTCAGTTTGTAGTTAAATCCCCTTGTTTGCTTCCTTCGATTCTTCTGTAATCTCAATGGACAACTCTTCGGTTATCGATCCTGTAGAGTTTTGTCGAATTGTTCGGTATTCAAGTTCAGTGTTCAGTGCTCTGCTGGACGCTTGACGTCGAAAGACCTGCAAGGGATCATAGCATGGCGATTAACCTTGGGGGATGTGGAGATACACCTGTATGCCCTATCAATTCCTGTAAGCTGCAGAATGAGAATGAGTTTTCAAGATTTGGAGGTCTTAATGAAATGACCCTCCAACGATGTCCATTACCATTTCGTCAAGCTTGACAGAATTTTACTGGGTACCTCAGGACTTACAGGGTGAAACGCGATTACAAAAAGACAAAAAAGAACGAAGACAAGGAAATACATTAGAAAAGTTTACAGGAGTTGCCCGCCCCAAGCCTACTGGCCCCTAGAGCATCAAGAAGTCAAGTCCGTTTTTGCCGCCATTGATACCTGTTAAATGCACGCCCCGCATTTAATAATGGTGTTGTGTGGCTCAAATATTTATGACAGGATGGCAATATGTTTACTCACTCATTCTCACCATGCAACACGGAGAGAGCTAGATCGGAATAACCGTACCACCAAGACGCCTTTCAGGAACCAAATTCAAACGTAGCCGTGACATTACCTTCACCCTACGCTTTGGTTGTTCATCATGGTGACAGCCCTTCAGAATTCTCACAAAACCTCCAATTCCGTTCTCTAGATGCATTTTATAACGATGTGATAGAGGACTATACAGAAAGCCTGCATTGACTTTTTCAGCCTGATGGATGTGGCCAAAGTTTAACTGCTGGTCCCGATTATGCAATGTTAGCTGCTTCTGTTGGAGATGGCACAACTATGACGAAAATCGATTTTTCGAAGTGTGTCTATTGGATCCAGGTCCTCTTTTTTGATTTTCCGGCAATTTCAAAAGCGATCCTTAAGATTTATGACGTTTGGGATGTTTTTTCCACGTGCATCGTTAGAATGGTAAAAAAGATGTTTAGGCGCCGGTAGGAACGCGGGTTGAAGTTCGTATAGAGAGCCTACAGGGTTATTCAGTGGATGGATGTATTTATGGAGGAGTGGAAATCAAAGCTCATGCCGACCAACTACGAACAGGATATAGGTAAAGTTGGGGTTAGTAGGTGTTTATGAATGGAAAAGTTTCGTCTAATACACAGTCTTGTTCACTGAAGATGATGGGGCATGTCAGGGCGCCTGGTCTGGTATGTTGCCAGCTCGTTTCCACCAGTTGCTGAAGAGGCTAAGTAGCAAGAAGTGTTGGAAAGCGACTGACACGAACGATATGATTCAGTCTTGTTATTACCCTAAAAAAGAAAAGCTGGTTGTCTCCGCTTTAAACGCAACCGGGCTGACGTGCCTCATCATCCCAGCGAACAAGGATATATGCATGCAATCCATTTCCTGCATCAATAAGCCAACAAATGGTAAACAGATCCACATTAGGAAATCTTCTGGCGCTATTTGGGTCAAGGAGAATCGTGCACCTGGGCTCGTTTCGTTTACTCTCTCTTTCCAATTGCACGTCTCACATTGGTGAGACCTGTTAAAAGCAAAATGTCCCCACCAAGACAAACAGCGCCTTTATAGTAGCGATAGCCTCAGAAGGTGTTCAAATATGTGCAATGCTAAGAAAATTTGAGATATTTTAAATACTCAGAATGCCCTTTCACTGCCACTTCGGAAATGCTCATCCGACTTTTCTCTAAAGAACCCTACTTCAGGTTTTGCTCCAGAGCGAGCGTTGGAAAAACGTTGGTTGCTTCGTCGAATCTGTTGCCGATCATAACATTCAATCGCTTTGGCAGATCGACTATTGGGTTGGCTTACCGCTACGGTAAGTTAACCACGTTACGTTTCTTAGGTTTCTATTTCCTCGCTATCCCTGCTAACCATGGCCATGGCTACACCGACTTCCATTAGAGACTCACATTTGGTAATACGCTCAGTTACAACCACTTTGTGAACAACCTCTGCGAATTCTACGTATCCCCGGTATTCTATATGCACCACAAGGGCCTTCGTTCTACTTATAACTTACTATGGACGATCTCAACAGTCCATATGATTGCAACTATGCAGAGATTCATATGATAGGGCCGAAGGCAGACTCCACGATTAGCTAAGCAGTCCCTTTACCACCGCCAACAAGTAGGCTGGCTCGCAGTGACGGCGATTGCAGCACTTCGGCTGCACATAGTCGAGTGACGAGAGCGTCATACCGTCCTTCCTTTAGCCGCACGCAAGGGGCCATCATAAGCGAACACAAAGAACGCAGTCAGGGACATCGCTGTCGATCAGAAATCAGCTCAAGTGAGTTGCAGCGACCATACCGATCGCAGCAACATGTCCGGTGAACTCGTACCACCACACCTTCTAGTAATAGTGACACCGTAGAGATTGCTTTGAAGAAAGTTTTTTTGAGGATATGTGACGGGTTCTTCTGCTTCTTTACTGTTGAGTTTCACATCTCTGATTCAGGTCCCTTCCACAAGAATTGTAGTGGGCCTGGAGGCTCTGCCTTCAGAGACAGTTGGCACAATAATTTGGTGGGCTGTTAAAATAGTAGTAGGTGTACTAAATAGTGGGAAAACGGCGAAAAAGCGAAGGGAAATGGTTAAAAACCTACTAAAAAGCCTTTGTTTCACACGATCAGAATGCTCTTCGGACGAGATTCCCGTTGGCTTGCGCCAATTATCGTTACGAAAGGTGGGGCTGCATCGATGTGCTCATATTGTATATCCAGGCAGTCGCAGCCGCATGATATCAATCCCTTCTCCTCATATTTCACCTGGCACATGAAAATACCAGCATCAGGGTTGGTCGAACGTTTGTAGGAGGGCCGGCGCGGGTGGGCGTCCGGGACGGTATGTTGCAGCTTGATAGAACGCTATAAAGGGACCTTCTTTGGAAAAAGCGCAATGCAGCGCTTGCTCAGATGCGCCGAATCAAGTCCTGCTGACCGTATTATTCCTACACGTCTTGGAGATTTATCTTGCCAAGTGTCTTTAAGCACCAATGAATTGGGCCAATCCCCGATGAGTTACTTCCCCAACCGCTAAGTCGTCTCGCATAGGTCGCGAGAAGGTGTCCGTCTCGACATTAACATTAACGTACCGCGGTGACGCCATCTCTCCAAAAACTCCCTTTCGTCGTTTTCGCATAATGGGAGCTGAATATGTGGCGTATTTCACAGGTGTACACCAACTCCGAGCCTCTTCGTTTATTGCCCCTACTGAACCACTCGATACTAAGCTTCCACTAAAAACGGAACTGGTATCCTTCCGTTGTGTATCGTATCATTTGTAGCTCCGCGCGCTGATAGATTGACAAAAATGCCCACCCCCCCCCTAAGTGCTTAATGCCCGCAACTTGAAACGGGCTCATGAAAACTCGACCTAAATCACTGCTGGAATGCACCATCTAGAGATCTTGTTCTTGAACTTACTGTATTTTGTGTACCAGCAATAAACATTTATTTAGTTGGTGAGAGGCAGGACAGTGTTGTGGGTACGACAGCAACAACAACAACAATACCAACAACTACAACGACTGTCGCACCAGTGCCGATCACTGCACCGCAAACTACGACCATGCCATTTGCGAGGTGTATAAACTACTTCTACGAGTGAGCTTTATTGTATATTTTCTATCCTTCTTCGCATTTTGCCTGAAAATTCATGGAACTTTCGTCCATTCCTTGCGGCTAGTTCAGTATCAGTAGTACAGAGGATGAAGTGCTGCCCGCTTCGCACTTCCATTGAGAGTCGTAGTGGCTTATGAATGTATGTGGCCTATGCAATAACATGCGGAGCCAGCTCATGTACGAGTCAGTGTTCTCATCCTCCCGAACGAGCCTGGTACCAATTTACCGCTCCCCGAGGATAGGTGAAACTTGGTTGACGCGGGCGGGAGTGTTCGACCTCAAGACCGTGCTTGGTAACCGTGCCACTTGCCATACACCACCTCTGCCCAATGTAATATTTCATACATATAACAACAATGGAATGAAAATTGCGTCATTTCAAAGAACAATACTCTAGAGGAAAACCTGTAACTCTTCTTATTGTTAGATGAATTTTGAACCTTGGGTGCAAGTTACCTCT